ATTTCTCTATCCTTTAACCATAGATTTTCCCCTCCAGAGGTAGCTATTTTTAGCAGTGTTGTTTCATAGCTGCGGAGGCTGTCATATTTACCATTTCTGAGCCTTTTGGAAAATTAGTTTTGACAAAGGTTCAGTATTCATATAGGAGATGTGTGCCTTAGTAAAGGGAACAAATAAATTTCTTTTGAAGAGTTTAGAAAAGCAAAGTTTTTTTGTTTGATTTTTAAGTGAGATAGGACTTAGAAAACCTATTAATTTTAGAAACAGTCTGAGGAATGAATTGGTGTGGGCCCCACCCTAACCAGGCTCCAGAGGAATGTTCTCTTTCCTGAGAGCAAGTATGTTACTGTGGTTTGTGAACCATTAAGGGTATAACATATGTTTGTTAATGCTTTTCCTCCTCTTGGTTTGCCCTTTGCACTCTTGCTTGGTTTGCAGTAGTGAATGTTTTACTTCCTGTATAACTGTTTATCTAACAAACACTTTGGTAAAAACCTACTTTTACCTGGTTAGTAAAAAACCTCGTAATTGGTTATGTGTTATGGCAACTAAAAAGGAAAATAAATGGTGAGAGACCACAAATTATGGTCTGATCTAGTCCCCTGTCCTCCAGCACATAAGTTCTTTATACTGTACCAGACAGATGGTTATATGGAAAGTTGGATCTTTGTTTGTCAAATAATCTGAAAGTCAAACACAGTTAATCTTTTTTTCCTAGTAGTTAAATGAGCTGACAGCTTGCCTTTTTTCTTATTGTAAATGTTAAATTACAAAAGTGTAATATGTGCCCATTATAAATAGAAGTGAGACAATCCAAACATATATAAAGAAAAAGTTAATGTCCCTCCATCCACTTCCCACCTCTCTGGGGTAATCAATATTAACAGCCATGTTCATACAGATAACATACTAGGATCCTACTATAAACATTATAGTACACAGCTTGTTTTTTTTTTAACTCAAAAGTATATTTTAAACATAGTTTTTAGTGACTAGATAAGAAATCAAGCTCATTTTTTTAAAAGTATAGATTGTCCACATTATTTGTATTGTATTATTATAATTTAACCATTCCTTATATAAGATTATGAGTGGGTTTTTTTAATCGAAATGTATTAGCTTTATTTTATATTAGTTTCAGGTGTACAATATGATTCTGTGTTTATATACTAGAGGCCCAGTGCATGGATTCATGCGCCGAGGGGTCCTGGATTGGGAGAGGGTACAGGCCAGGCGAGGGACCCCACCAGTGCACGATCAGGGCCAGGGAGGGACCACGGGAGGGCTCCAGGTCATGTCTGGCCCATCTCGCCCAGTCCTGATTGGTGGGACCCCAGCAGCAAGCTAACCTACCGGTCAGAGCATCTGCCCTCTGGTGATCAGTATGGATCATAGCAACTGGTGGAACTGTCAAACAAGCAGTCGGACACTGAGCATATTAGGCTTTTATTATATAGGATAACAACAATAAGTCTAGTTAATACCCATCACCTCAGTTACAACATTTTTAACTGTGAGTTTGTACCTTTTGACCACCTTCATCCATTTCACCCACCTTCCACCCCCTGCCTCTGGCAACCACAATATGTTTTCTTGTCTGAGTTCATTTGTGTGTTTATTTTGTTTTGTTTTGTTTTGTTTGTTTTTTTACACTATTTTACCAACAGGGTCGTTTTTGTGTGTGTGTGTTTATTTTTAATATTACACATATAAGTGAAATCACACGTTATTTGTTTTTTGTCTGACTTATTTCACTTAACATAATGTCCTCAAGGTCAAAGGATGTTGTGTTTTTTTAACCACTATAAACTAAACCACAGGGGCTAGCTCTTAGTATATAACTTATACACTGATCTATAGGATAAAGTTTCCCAAAATAAGATTAATGGGTCACCAGATATGTGATTTTAATTATTTAATGAATATTGCCAAACAACTGTAGCACCTCACAGGAATATATTACAGTGCACTAAATTAATTTTTGACAATATTGGACGTTATGGTTTTAAATTTTTTTTGCCATTCTGTTGGGGTGACAGACATTTCATTTGCTTTAATTTGTTTTTTTATTTTTAAAAATATATATTTTCTATTAATTTCAGAGAAGAAGGGGTCGAGAGAGAGAAAGAGAGAGAGAGAGAGAGAAAGAGAGAAAGAGATTGATGATGAGAGAGAATCAATGATCAGCTGCCTCCTGCACACCCCCCACTGGGGATTGAGCCTGCAACCTGGGCATGTGCCCTGACCAGGAATTGAACCAAGTCCTTGGGCTGACCCTCTAGCCACTGAGCCAAACTAGCTAGGGGTGATTTGCATTGTTCTGACTGCCATTAAAGCTTAACATCTTTTCATGTATTTTATAGGCATATTTGACTACTTTTCCTATGAAATTTCTGAACATTTTTGCCCACTTTTACCTGGATTGTTAATCTTAGGATTATCAGTTTTGCAAATGCTCTTCATGTATTGCAGATGTTAATTAACCCTTTGTCTATTTTATGAGTTGCAGATATTTTCCCCAGCCCATTGTTTGTTTTTTGACTTTGTTTATGGTGTTTTTTTTTAACCACTGGAAATGTTTAATGTTTATGTTCTGAAATATGTCCATCCTTTTATAAGATCTAGGTTTCTGTTACAAACTACCTTTTTGATATCTTGATCATATAGTGTGTACATTTCATTTGCAGGTAAAAGTTTCATTTGATCTGAACACTATTCAGATAAAATACCTGGATGAGGAAAATGAAGAGGTACAGTATATTATGGTACCCATTGCTATGCATCCAGAGTAGTGATTTTATTTTTCAAGACTAATGTGGGGCTTGAAGAATTCAGAATGCTGTTTATCTCATTTGTATAGTGGTTTATATGTATTTGATAATTGCATGTTCTAAGCTGACTTATGGCATTTGAGATCGAGTTGAGAAATGGGGAAGCAACATTGAAGAAGAAAATATGAGAGATAACTTTTAAAACTATGTCCTGATCTTAAAATTAAGTATATCATAAGTTGTCATTTCATTTATAATAATAATAATACTGACCAACCTTTGTTGAGTGGTTACAGTGTGTCAGGCTAAAAGCAATACTATATATTAGGTACTGCATTGTCATCATTTTCCTATTTACATGAGGAAACTGAGACTTAGAGAGATTAATTAATAAACTTACCCAAAGGCACATAAGCTGGGGAGTAGAAGAGGTTCATTCCATACCCTCTGGCTCCAGAGCCCAGGCACCTAGCCATTATATTATACTACTTCTTAATATACCTAAAATAAAAAATAAAGTAGTTAAGCAGTAAAATTCCTTAACTACTAATTACAACTAGTTCATGGTACTAGAAAAGCTGAACCCTAACCTGAGATTTTGCACCTATCCTGTGAGGCTGGTCCTAGTAAACTGTTCAACTGATGAGAGGTTTATAATTCACTGTTGCTTTTTTGTTCTTTTACAGGTATCCATCAACAGTCAAGGTAAGTCAAAAGCCTTCATCTGTTCATTGGCATATGCATTTCCATATACACTCATTCTTGTTGCAATATTAATTTTAGAGTAGAATTTGGTATACAGTAAATTGACATTGTACTCATTTATCCATGGACATTAGTTACATAGGATATTTTTATTTTTTTATCTTATTTTTTTTAAATATATTTTATTGATTTTTTACAGAGAGGAAGGGAGAGAGATAGAGAGCCAGAAACATCGATGAGAGAGAAACATCTATCAGCTGCCTCCTGCACATCTCCCACTGGGGATGTGCCCGCAACCAAGGCACATGCCCTTGACCGGAATCGAACCTGGGACCCTTCAGTCCGCAGGCCAACGCTCTATCCACTGAGCCAAACCGGTTTCGGCGGATATTTTTATTTTATAGCAGTTTTTTGTATCTAAAGGGTGCCTTTGGTTGGAGCCTAAGGACAGCTTGTTTAAACAAAATCCTCACCTGAGGATATGTTGGTTTTTTATTGATATTTTTTAGAGAGAGAGAGAAATATCAATTGGTTGCTTCCCATATGCACCCCGACTGGGATTGTACCCTCAACCTGGGCATGTGCCCTGATCGTGAATCTATCCACAACCTTTTGGTGTACGGGACAACACACTGATCAGCTGAGCCACCCAGCCAGGACAGAGCCCAAGGATAGCTTTAATGGGAGAGTCTCTGATGTTTAGATGCTAATGTGAACTGCCTCCCAGTCCAACACATACAATTTGGTCTGGTATTACATTTGCCTCTGACTTGGTATATATGTTAATGTTAGTTCACAAACAAGTGGTATTCTAGAAGCTTATTTGTAAGATGATTGTTGAGAGGTTAGAGTATATTTTGCTACAGGAATGTTATATTTGAAGGTTAGGTTCCCAGGCTAGCTCCCAAAAACTTATTTTAAACAGCTGCAATGATAGTATTTCATGAACTTCCTTGAGTCCTGAGTTCCATTAAGCCCAGTGTGAGGGATCTGGGTGGAGGTTTTGTAACTAGAAGGCTCCAGTAACGGGATTAAAGGGGAGAACTAACCAGCAAGTAGCTTCTATTTGCAATGTGATGAGAAAGGAGTTTGTCAGCAAAAAGATAGTAGCTGTTCATGTGTAAGGATTGTAAGCTAAGAATTCTTAAAAGTAAGGATTGGCTGTACTTAATAGATATCTTTTGGACTGGTGAAGAAATATCACCATATGTATTTTTTATCCTTTTAGGAGAATATGAAGAAGCACTTAAGGTAATAGTCATTGCATCTTATTTTCAAATAATTTGTAAATGTTTATTGATAAAACTTGAACCTGAATTCTGTTGGCCATGGGGAGAAACTATTGAATATAAATAGAGCAAAACCCATTTTTAGGGAAACTATGATGCATGGGCATACCATTCAGCAAAAGGCAGCCACAAATATAAAGGTTTTGTGTGTTTTTTTCAGTTATCATTCCATCTCATTGCTGGTCTTGGTGCCACCATCTAGCATTTAAAAATACAAAGAACTCTCTGGAATGGTACTTTCTGGTTGATATTTTTTATCTTCTTTCTTCACCTTGATCCCCCTATAGAATGTTGCAGTATAATATGGGAGAATTTAAGGTAGAAAGCATCCATTTACAAACAACCCCTTGTCTGTCAGTGATGGATCAGAGCATTCCTCAAGGTCACTTCTTTAAGGTGTGCCAGCTGTCCTTTCATTACCACCTTAGTTAAGGTTTTTCTTTAATGTTCCACTGTTCTTTGTGAACTTCTAGTCCAAGACTAAGTTATTTTCCATAATCACTTTTAGTCTAGGGAGGGAAAGGCAAGATTTTTTTCACTGAAAGTTGGATTTGCCCTTTTTTGGTTTCTGGTCAAAATTGCTGTTCTAGTGCCAAGTGTTTCAGTAGTTTAGCTGATGTCTTCCTTGGTTTTTACTTAGAAATCTTACCAGCTAGTCTCTTGGTTTTGGATATTCAAGCCTTTCCCTGGATTTTCTTAGTTAAGATATCCATCTCTGTTAATATTTCATGCTTCATAATTTCCCTCTGCCCCAATTTCATTTGGTCTTTCTATTTCCTACTTTTCAGCTATTTCAGCCTTCTGTCTTCCCATCCCCTTCAATCTTATTCAAGTTTTCCTGGCTTTTC